CTGATTGATTAAATGATATAATCATGTTCTTGAGGCATTATGCCATTTTATTTTAATGTAATATCAAGATTACTTTCAAAGCTATTGTGAAGTTTATAAAAAATAAACTGTAAACTGTTAACAAGTTAGAATTGGAAAATTATGTATATAAAGGTGCTAACTATGAAGCTGGTTGTATCTGTATTATATTCATATATTAGAAGGCAACACAAAACTTAGATACTTAGATATCTGTGGGGTTTCTGGACTCAGCAAAATGTATATTCTTCTGATCTTACCTGGGGTCACTCAGATGACTGAACCAATGTCAGCTTACCTGGTACTAAACAATCTAAGATGAAATTACTCAGATATTTGGGGTCTTCGTGTTGTATATCACTAAATTTTCTCTCCATATGTTCTCTCAACATTCTATTATTCTGCCATGGACTTTTTTTTGGTGGTAATCAAATTTACCAAAAGAATGACTGCTGTGAGGACTTCTGACCCTGGATTTCAAAACTCACACACTGTGACTTCTGCCCCATTCTGTTGGTCCAAGTCACATGTCCACTCAGATGGAAAGGTTGTGGAACAAGGCTACACCTCTTGACAAGAAGATGTGTGAAAAATATGGGGCCATATTTAATCTACCATAGAAGTATTTACATGATTGTTGGATATAATTTTTATTTCTCTGTTTGCTGGAGTGAGATATTAAAGTTTATGAGTTTGTTGTAAATAAGGGACAAATGAGATATTTTATCAGAATAAAGAACAGATTCCAAAAATTCACATTTTTAAAGTTCATTTATTTTTAATAATACATACAAATTATAAGAAATTCCAAAAATATAATAAGTAAAAAGAAAGTGAAAAATAAAATGTACCTCAACTATAATTGCCCAGAAACCATAATTAAGATTAATTATAAACCATTTCAGCACCTTTCTCTGCCTGTTATATAGCTATACTTGACTGAAAGATTTAATATACAAAATTAGGGTGATTTTTCTAAAACTAATACAGAATATCACTTTATTAAGTATATTCATTTAGTAAGAGAAAAAGAAATCGAATGAAAGAGCTTCTTACAAGAGATAGTGCATGCTAAACAGAAATCTCTGAAGTTAAAAAATAGGAAAGTCATTAATAGGTTGGTCATATCTTTTTTAAAAATTTTTATTGAGGGAACATTGGTTTACATTGTTTATATTTTGGTCTTTTAAAACATTAGACAGGATTGATTAAATCCCTACTATGAAAAATAATATTAAGTCTAATATATTTTCTTCTACCTACCCTTGTTTTACATCAAATTTCTGTTCATTATATGATTTCTTTAAAAAAATAGAGCAATATCCAGTCTACAAACAGAGCTTATTTTACAAACCCTTGTAGAGATATTAGAAGAAAGATGAAGTCAGTCAACACTATATCAGATCTCTACAGATTTGGACAGAGAAAAAAAGGAAGAAAGAAAACACAATATATAAACTTTGTTGGAATGTTCTAATATTCTCTCAGATTTTATTAAATGTTCAATACTTGTATTTTTCTATCTAGATAATGGTTTAACTCATATTATGTGTAGGTATCATTATGTTTCAGATTATTTCCATAATTCCTTGTGCATTTCTCCCTTGAACCTTCTTCTTGATCACAGTCAGCCCCATCAATTTTTATATAACAGCTGCTCATAGGGTAAGAGATATGGAGTTTCTCATAGTAAAGAGATAAGGAACTTTTTTCAGTTTGCATCTCTTTAGATTTGAAGATATTATGACAGTTGTTAGGATTTTTGATAATTCCTCATTAAAACTTTTTTTGGGAACCAGAGTTGCATTAGGAACTTCACCCTGTTGTACTATATATCTCAAAGATCTTTCATTTCTGTCCTTGACCACAAAAGTTTTGAGATTATGACATAAAGCTATGGCTATTTCTTATTTGATTGTTGCCAGTAAAGGCTTTGTTTATCTGTAGATTTTACTTTTTTTGGTTTATTTTATTTGATGTTAAGAGGGGAATATTTTGTGATTCAACTTCATTCTACTATTTTAACTTGAGGGGAAAACTCTGTAGTACAGTTTTATTCTACCATGCTAACTTGTAGCTCAAGGCACTAAATTTTAAAGAAATACCTTCAATGTAAGGGAAAATTAATCATTAAAATCTACAATGCCTTCAGCCTTAGTTTTGTAACAAATACAGAGGATTTTTCTTAAATGTAGTTCATGCAAAAATCCTTAATGAAATCTTACCTATAGCGGCAGCCAGCTGTTAAGTGTATCTCAGAATGAAAGGGAACTTATAGTGCAGAAACAAATATGATAAGGTAAATTAATTTTAGATGATCTAACATTATACAAAATTAATGCTCAGAACATCTAGAGTGATACCTGGTTAGAAAGCATATTTACTCCAATTTAGTGTGTATATATCACTTTGATGAGGCTTTCTAAAATTGCAGATCTGATTCAGTAAGTCTTAAATAGACCTGAGGTTCTATATTTCTAACAAGCTCCTAGATAAAATACTGTTGGTCTTAAATTACACTTTGAGTGGCAAGGTTCTAGGCAATTATAGAGTCAGGGATCTATTTGTCTGAATCCTTGAGACCAGGACGTATGCCTTATTCATCCTTATTCATCATTGTATTACTGCTGCCTAATGAAGTACCTAAATGATAGTGTGTCCTGCAACATTTTCTTGTTAAATAATGAATCAATGAGCTGAATAAATAAATGACTACTAAGTACCTAGTAGTCAATAATGTGGTATGCATTATTATCTAAGTAAGAATTCTTATGTTTTGGAAACCAATAAATTATAATAGGATTGCTATTGGGCTTAAAAGTATAAAATCAAAATGTTTGCTCAGGTGAAAAACTGTTGCCCATCACACTAATACTTTGGACAAGGAAGTACTTGATACTTCAAACAAATCCTTATTTGAATTCTGAAATTTGTTTGGGTAACTTAACAAAGCTATTAATGGGCTCTCCCTGGTGGCGCAATGGATTAAAGCACTGTATTATGAAGCTCTCCAAAGCCACTGGGGCACAACTTCCATCCCCCTCTAGGGAGCTGACCCATATGGCCTGGCAGACTTCTTCTGATCCACTGGCTGCTCCCTTCAGCAATATACTTTGTCAATCTGTCTGTTCTGCTCCCCACTCTGTCTCTGGTGAATCCTCTCATCCACCACACCTCTGGCCTGTACCCCAGTTCTGTAAGCATAAATAAATAAATCTTAAAAAAAGAAATAAAAGCTACTAGTTCTCAATTTCTTGGCTACATTTTAAAATTAATGGGAGCTTTTTTAAAACTGTAGTGTGCAGCAACCCAAGCAGCACATTTTTTTTTTTTTTTATGGTCACAGAGGAAAACTACCTTGACTGTGTAATCTTTGAACCAAGGTCAGTGTTTCATTTATTTATTTATTTATTTATTTTTTAAGATTTATTTATTTGTGCATACAGAACTGGGGTACAGGCCAGAGGCTGAGGGGCGGCGAGAGGCTTCGCCAGAGACAGAGTGGGGCACAGAACAGGCAGATGGACGAAATACACTGCTGAAGGGAGTAGCGGGCAGGGCAGAAGAGGTCTGCCACGCCATGTGGTCACCTCCGGGGCAGGCGGGGATCGAACTCATGCGGAAGTGGCTTTAGCCTCTCAGTGCTGTGTGCCACCAGGGAGGGCCCTCATTTATTTTTTAACTCTTAACACCTACTAAAAGATAAAGGATTCAGCAACTGTTTATTTAATCAGTGGATGAATTATGTTATAAGAAAGTATTATTAGGCCCTCCCTGGTGGCGCAGCGGGTTAAAGCACTGCACTGAGAAACTAAAGCCACCTCTGTATGAGTTCGATTCCCGCCTGCCCCGGAGGCGACCACATGGCGAGGCAGACCTCTCCTGACCCACCCGCTGCTCCCCTCAGCAGTGTACTTCGTCGATCTGCCTGTTCTGCTCCCCATTCTGTCTCTGGTGAAGCCTCTCACCCTCTGCATCTCTGGCCTGTACCCCAGTTCTGTACGAATAAATAAATCTTTAAAAAGAATAGAAAGTATTATTAATTGTCACAGCATTCTTTAGTATAAAGGGACTTTATTAGCATCATGAAATTCAGTAATTTTAAATGCCCTTGTAATACAGACAATATTAAAATTTGGTATTAGGTGTAGATGTATTCCTTAGTATTTTGTTGGTACAATTTCAGTTTCATTTCACTTGTTAAATAAAAATAGGATGAGTAGAGTGTGGTCAAAGATAAGAAAACTGGCACAGTATGTGAATTCTGTGATGGGGTACTTAGGACTGTTACAAAGAAATCTAAAGTGTTTTAGATTCATTTATGGGAGGGCAAGGTCAGTTAATTTCATTGCTGAGCTGCAGCATCAACTATGTTTTCATTTTTTTTTTAAGACCAGAAATAATAACCATTTACAGTGATAAATATTTATGTTTCTCTACTTTTTAAAGACAAGCAGAAATAGCAGAAAATATTGACTTAATGACACAGCATACATGTAAACATATGCTGAAGTTTAACAGATGTTTTGAATACTAGCTCTTCCTTCTAGTTTGATAAGCCCATGAGCAAGTAAATTTTAAATTTTAAATATTAAATGAAATATAAATATGATCTGATGAGATTGATATACTTATGAAATGGGAATGTAATTAATACTTTGATATCTTAATTGTTTGTTGACCTCAAAGCATTTTGAATAGCTGAAAATAAGTCAACTGTGCCATGCAACATAAACACAAGCTGTAAACTCTTTGTGGTATTTCCTGTACATATTCAAGAATTTGATTTACCCTCATTTTTATAGGATAAATAAAATAAATACCTAAAACTACAATATTTTGAGCAAAAGTAAAGCTTTTCATGAACTGTGATTCACAAAAAAAATCCTTGTTCCCTCATTTATATGAAATATTTGAATTGAGATGTTTTGAGTATGCAAGCATATATGTCTGCATCTAATAATATTTTTGCCTTCTTTCAGGAAACCCTGATAGATTGGTGTGATGAAAAAGAACTTAATTTGATTCTAACGACTGGAGGAACAGGTTTTGCACCACGAGATGTCACTCCAGAGGTATGCCTTTCTTATTTAAGAAAAAGACTATTAATTTTTTTGTAAGATTTATTTATTTATTCGTACAGAACTGGGGTACAGGCCAGAGATGTGGAGGGTGAGAGGATTAACCAGGGACAGAGTGGGAAGCAGAACAGGCAGATCGATGAAGGACACTGCTGAGGGGAGCAGCGGGTGGGTCAGTAGAGGTCTGCCACGCCATGTGGATCTCCTCTGGGGCAGGCGGGAATTGAACTCATGCGGAAGTGGCTTAAGCTTCTTAGTGCAGTGCTTTAACCCGCTGTGCCACCAGGGAGGGCCCAGACTATTCATTTTTTAAGCCTTTTGTACTATTTTTATAGTTTTGGAACTGTAGCTCTATGAATGAAAAATTCTTAGTAGAATTGTATTAAACAATGTCTTTTTTTTCTTTGAATTTTAACTAGAAATGTTATGTAATATGGGGAATTAACTGGACTAGAAGAACATCCTGCTTTTTTCCAGTGGTCTGTTATATCATCTGAACTTCAGGAGGTGATAGCATCGCTCTAATTTCACATGGTGTCTAGTTCAATGTATTTTGTTACTATATGTGATTTTTCTTGAGATACTCTAGTCATTGGTCTCAAAGCATAGTAGGATGACAGCAGTAGAATAGATATGAAAATTTCACAGTACTTTTGAGGAAGTGTTATATATTTGAAAATTTAAGTGTTAATTTCAATGTTAAAAAAAAAAAAAAAAAAACCACCACCAGAATTAGTATTTAGGTTTCTTGCTGAGAGTCACTTTCTACCTTTGTACAAGGAGAAATACCAGGGAAATAATGAAGACTAGGCAGCCTCACTTATACAGTTTAAAAGTTTTTTATTTTAAGGAAGCTACATATTTCAGGTAATATTTCATAATCCTATAAACTTTTATTACAGGTATGATTTTGTTTCCTTTACCTTCCAAAAGGTTTTTTTGACTGAATTTCAACTTAATGTCCTTTTTTTTACTGTCTCATTGACAGCAAGATATTTTTTCTTTACATTTATTGATAATTACAGTCCGTATCTGGTATAGTAGTTTTCTAGTTTTAGACTATGCCACAGAGGGCTTATTAAAACAAAGATGCTGGGCCCTATGCCAGAGTTTCTGATTGTTTATATTTGCAGTGGGTCCTTAGAATTTATATTTTCTAAGACCCCCAGTAATACACCTGTTACTAGTTTACAAGCCATCCTTACAGAAGTTGAGAACCAGTGTTCTAGTATATGAAAATGCATTTTTACAGTTTGTGAAATGTTTTCTTTTCTAACAGAAAAAATCATGACAGAATTTTTTGAAGTATATTAAAATTAGATTGATAAAATGGCTTTCTTATTTTAAAGTAAAACAGAATAAAGTTAATATTGTATTGAAAAATTAACTTCAACTGCTTAAAAAAGAAGTCATCCTTATATAATTTACCTTCTGGGTTCAAAAGAAAATGTTCCTTTGGCCAGTATTTCCTGGGAAGTTAACTTAAAAAGTGTAATTTGAGGGGAGCAATCTACTGTAGGGTGTGTTTGTATTCTGTTTTTCTTGTAAGGGAATTGACTACCTATGTGTAGATTGATTTTTGGAGCTGCTGTGTTATTTTAAATATTTGAAACAAATTATTTTAATTTCTTTTCTCTACTTTTGAGTGTGATAACTTGATATTTTCAAAATAATATTGGCTTTTGGCTTTATCAGAGAAGTATAAGTTACTAGCATTCATTCATAACCAGATAATATGACCTTTTAATTGTGGAGAAATAATTCATATCACAAAGTTGAATGCTCAAGTTAATAAAAACACTAAGTTAAAATTTCAAACCTCTTAGTTCTGGATCTGTTGCTTGCTAACAAGGTTATTGTACAATAGTCATGAAGTTACTATGCTTCAATTTCCTTATTGATAAGGAAGAACCAAAGTACCTATCTGTCTGACTGGATATAAAGATTCTATGACAACTAATCCTGGCATTTTAGTAAGTGCTATAAATGGGTTAACTTATACTGGTTAAAGATTATTTTTATTAACTGCTACATAATAGCTGATTGGACAAATTTCATAGGTCTTTTTTTTTTTTTTTTTGTATTTAAACTGCCAAATGGACAAAAACCGTTATATTACATTGAAAGTATATCCTCCAAATCTACATGGTCTTGTTATTTTAAAATTTTTGATATATTTAAGATTTCTATGATATCTTTTCCATCTGTATATAAATCAGAGGTTTTAAATTTGTGACATTCTCCCTCCCCTTCCTTTCTTGGTACTGTTAATTATGTGTGTCCTTCAATGACCTTGTAGGTTTCATTTTATTATTGAGGAATTCTTTATTCTTGAAGTTTTCTGATTATCTGAAAACCAAAGGGCTGCTCTTATATTTTGTTTCTCACATATGACTATAGCCACTACATGGGTAACCTTGTTGCAATATCATGATGTATAATAGATAAACCTTACTAAAAAATTAATATATATAAATATATACAGTATGATTGCTTCAACAAATGTTTATAAGATTGCTATGCTTTTGAATAGTAAACATAAAAGCAATATAGTACCACCCAACAAAATTCGACTAATTTCTTTTTTCCTCTGCACTCTTATATTGTTACAATTCCTATAATATCTAAAATACAACATTATAATATCAGATAGGAATCCAAAAATACAAGTTGGTATTTGTAATAATAGTTGTCTTTGATGTCTTTGTCATTGATAAGTGTACCTTAAAAGATAGGAAATTACAACAACTTAATAAGGTTGCAACTATTTCCAATGTTGTCAGAAGTTATTGATAGCAAATGAAAACATCAGTGATAAACATAAATAAAACTCCCTTCAGGTACTAAAATTTTACAGTTAATAATTGCTAGCAACTAGTCTGATCTAGTATGGGGTACACTTGTTTTTGGCATGTGTATTTTAGAAAGAAAGCAAAGGGGGAAAATGATAAATAGAATGAAGGAAATAATGTCATGTAAATTTATTAACATTTGGTGTGAACTCTCGAGAAAATGAAATATTAAAGAGACTTAGATTTCTTCTCAGGTCCATTAAAAAGAAAAAAAAGACAAGTTTAATAATATGTATCTCTTTGCATGGTTTATAGAATTAAAGTATCTAGAATTTATTTTCCTAAATTTATGATTTGATTCTGTTTATATCTTAGAATATTGTTCACCTGATAATTCCGTATCTTTAGCCCTTCTCCCTCAATGTGAGTTATTCTCAAAGCTTACATAGAAAAAATATAATAAAGTCACACACTACAACTTTTAAAATTTATTTTTAAGACTAAATTGCATTATTTTTTATCTGATATGGATTGATTATTCTGTTTGCATTTGTGAAATGCTAGTAATTGTAAAATCTTAGAGCATCAGAACACATTACTTATACAAAGTATTATTTATCTCTTCATATCCCTTTATCACTTAAAAGTGATATGTGACCCAAAAAGGAATTATTATTCAAAGAAATTTTTGTTGTTCTTAAAAGATAAAATTTTAATTAAGGACATGTAAGTGAGGTGAATTGAAAGTCCTTTAGGTGAATTCTAGAAGACACTGAAAGATTAAGAAACATTAAAAAAAATCCTTTATAAAGAAATATTTGATAATGTTATAATAAATTAGAATATATTAATTTTTTTAGTACTTATGGAAAAAATAACTCCCTCCCTTTTAGAGTACTACACTATTGCAGAATAAAGGTTTACATGTATTATTAAAGAGTTAAGTTTTGAATTAAAGAGTTAATGAAAACCTACCATGAATTAAAAGTTAAATGAAAACTTACCATGCTGTTTCTTTACTCATTCATTCGTCGACATTTTAGGTATCTAGAAAGAAATCAAAGGAGAATATTTTAAATTTCACTATCCAAAATGAATTTTTATTGAAGTATCTTCATACTTATTTATTTATATTTTGCCTCTGACTGAAAAAGCCAAGTCAAACATTTTTACTGTCAAAACATTATAGCTGAAAATCTTAAAATATTTGGATTATCTGATCTTTTCAGAAAAAGTTTGCTAACCCCAGGTCTGTTGGCTGCAAATAAATCCTCTTTACCCATTTTTAAATTTTATGACTTTTAACTTTTGTTTCTTAATAATCTAAAATGGTGTTAGTTTTCATTTCTTAAATTTTTAATTTATCAAGAAGCAAAGAAAAGCATTTTCTTGCTATAATAAATGCAATTGCCTCACTGACTTAAAAGACAATATACAGAACAATAAAAATAAAGACCCATATTCTAAGTGACATATAAAATTGGAAACTTTGAAAGTTAGTCAAATTAATGAATTTGTTCTGCTTCAAATAAAACTTTACTCTTAAACAAAAATGTCCTGATACAGCTGGTCAAAATGAAATAATCAAAATGAATTCTTTCTGTAATTTTTATGAAATATTCTTGAATGTGGGAAATATATTCCCATGTCAACTTTGTATTCACATGTTGGGATTCATTTTAATGCCATTGGAGACTGACATTATTATTGAATCAATCCTGAATTGGTTTCCAACTCTACTAGTTACTAACTCTAGACTTAAGGCAAATTAACCTAGTGAAACCTCAATTTTCTCATATGATACAAATTGGCTAAACTATATCTTTCAAGTTCTTTCTAATAATTGAGATAATAAAAGTAGCCAATAAAAACAATTTAGCACATGTAGCACTTACTAGGGTGTCAAGAAGCATATGCTAACTCATTTAACCTTCAAACAACCAGATGAGGTAGATTGTGTATATATACACACATACATATATATATGAGGTAGATTGTGTATATATACACATACATATATATGTATATATGTATATACACACATATATATGTATATACACACACACACACATATATTTTGAAAGATTTATTTATGCTTACAGAACTGGGGTACAGGGCAGAGGTGTGGTGGGTGAGAGGATTCACCAGCGACAGAGTGGGGAGCAGAACAAGCAGATGGATGAAGTACACTGCTGAGGGTAG